GGGAGGGGGGTCCCTGAAATGGAAAGGGCACCGAATACGCGCAGGCGTAGGACGCACTCGTACGATGCGGAGTGCCGTCGCTGCGTACCACGTCCGCGTCGAAAATGGACTCGAGCTATTTATGTTTGAACTTGGAGCATATTTAACGATGTTTACGTGCACCTGCAACGCTGCTCTCCTTGGCAAAAACAACCTCTTTCGTGTCGCTGTTTGTGCACTGAAATTAAGTTCCCTCACACCCCCACCCCCCACCCACTAACCCATCGTTCGAAACGGAAAGAGGTCGAGGAGGATTCGAGCACGGATTCGAGGATCGCTCTGGGCGAGACTCACGGTCGGTGGTGGTCTCCGAGCCCAAAGCCATCGCTGGTCCCCTGGCCGAGGCGGTTGCGACAGCTTCGTACTCCCCGGCGTGGGTCCTCGTCGCGTTCTGGGTCGCCGTCCGCTCTCCCCATCCGCTTTCGACAGCTCGATGGTCTCTCGCGGAGAGGGGTCGTGTCCTCTGGAGAAGCGGGAGAGAACTGACCGTCGGAGGGAGGGGGCTGAGGGACTCCCCTCTCCCCCCCCCCCCTCCCCCCCCCGAGCTCTTCGCCTCCGCTTCCGCGTTCTGACCCTCGTTAACCTCCCGATCTGTCGGAAATTATTTTTCAAGAGGTTTGAAGGTTTCGTCGACCCAGGGATGCAAGGTCTTGCTTGCGGGACGAGCCTGAGGCCTTTCGTCCAACGAGATTCGCACTTTTGAGCCGTCTCGAGTTTTCTCTCTCCGTTGGGAGCCAGACGCAGCGTCCTCGTTCTCGGACCATTCGGGGTCCTGGTCGAACCATTCACGATGGCCAGGAGCCATCTCGACTGTTTGGCCTGTTTCGAAAGATGCATTTAGGAATTCGAGAGTCTTCCTGTCCCTTATCCGCGGGATGGGACAACGCACGAAAAGTACCGGGGACTTACGGCTAGGCTAGGCTAGTCGCTACCTGGTGTCTGAAATGTCGGCTATTTAGACGCCATCTCGTTTCGTTTGAGGGAACCTTGTTTGTTCCCAGGGCAGAATGCCCATCGACGTCAATCAGGCTGCCAGGACGAAATGTTGGCTGCCGGACCGGCGCCAAAGTGGGGCCTACATGGACAGATCGCTGCGATGATTCATCGCCGACGTGGGCCCAACGCGGGGTGCTGCCTGGGTTCTTTTGTGCCTGATGCTTGTCTCTGTCGTGATCTACTTTGCAGATCAATGCATCTTCATCTGACTGGTGGAGTAAGGGAGGTGTAGAGTGCAGGAAAAGCGTGGGCACGATTCCCATTTCGATATACTTTCATTGATATTTGATGCTCGTTCGACCTGGCATTGTTGCTCCCGGTGTGAAATGCCAAAGAAATGCCAAATGTCAGGTTATCCGCAATTTTCCTTCATGATAGCACCCGAAAGAGTGTACCTGGTTGCCTGTTTGGACTGGAGTTTCATCCTCGTGGTGTATGCACTGTCGATTCGTGCAGATTCTATCCAGATCATTCGGAATTGAGTGGGTCTTTCACTTTGATCAGTGTATTTTGATGACGTAATTGAGACTGGTTCGTGTTTTATGGTCTCGAAAATGAAAACGTCCTTGTTTAGTGGATTGACAAATCCTTGTTCGACCCAAAGGCGATGCACAATTCTATAATAAATAATAAATAAAACATACGAAGAGTTAAAAAAAAAGTAGATTTTTTTCCCTGACAGTTGCACAGGCTGTCAAGAGATGGCACTGCTCTCGTCTCATCCGCCTTCGTCCCATCCCCATTCCGCTTGCTGCTAATGCGATGCTCTGTGTGTTTTTCGACCAAATGCCTTCTTCGCGTGTCTGACCAAATCCGCTTGCGGAGGAAGATAGTGATCTCTCACATGGAGTTACGTATTTTGTCACTTCGTAGGTGTTGTCGATTCGGATGGGAACCAGGAGCCAGGAATCCAGAGGCGAAACGAACCGCGAGAGAGTCGGAGCCATCGCCGGCCGAGCAGAAGAGCGCGGCGACCGAATGCCGACCGTCTTTCTCTCGGCGGAGCCAATCGGACGTCGGAGTTCTCTGCCTCTCTCAGTTCCCATGTGTTGCGTGCGATTGTTTTGGTTTTTTGTTTGTTTCGGAGTGGCTAACCATGGCGTTAGTCACTCACTCACGTCTAGCTAGATCAGGAGATAGCTGTGTCGAATCGGGCTGTGTGAGATGTCCGGAATTGTGCTATTTGGCTGTATTTTTGAAATGCCAGATTGAAGAATCAAAGCTCTCATCAGGGATAAAAAGCGGAAATGGGATGCGTACAAGCGGACGGGAGATAGCACGGACTATGAGGAATATAGGAGGATCACGCGGAAGTTGAAGCGGGAAATTAGATCTGCGAGACGGGAGGTCGAGGAACGGCTGGCTAGCGATGCTAAGA